TGAGTCCTGAGTGTGTTCCTTCCATCTAGACTAATTCCTGCCCCCGTCAGCTCAAAGAACAACAAAAAGTTTTAATATCTCTCACTACTGAATATATGTAAATATATAAAATGTGAGCAGCACACTCTCCCTAGCCCTCAGGGACTGTCTTTAAAGCACCTTCTTCCCTTCTACTCTTAAGCACTGGGTAAGTTTGGTTGCCCAGAGAGGGCTCAGCCTTCCCCTAAGGTCACACAGCAAGGGAGATGGATAGAAAAGGGGACCTAGATGGGCAGGCAGCCCCGCACTGTCTCCTTGGAGTCCTGGGGAGCCCGGGCCTCGGCTGCATGGTTGAACTGAAAGGAAAGGAGAGGATTTGTCGGGCCTGTGCAGCAGCAGGACAAACAGCCGAGCGAAGACGGTGCAGCAAGCGCGGAGGCGGGCCCCCAGCCCCGGCACCCCTAACTGCAGGCAGAGTCAAGCAGAGGTGGCATGCTTCACCGAGCCCGCCAGGCAGGTGCCCCATGGCCCCCCAAGTCCTCCTGAACCATCAGAGGCTGTTGTCTCGGTGGCGGCTGCTGTGTGTGAGCGAGCACCGGGCGGTCCTGGGCAGTGGTGGCGGCTGCAGCAGGCCCCAGCATTCAGATGAGCCGCTCCTCGGGCGGCAGCTTGAGGTTGGGGGGTGGTGGCACGCGGGCACCCACCTGCTCCTCGCTGCTGGGCCGGTAGGTGCCCTGTGTCTGCCGCTTCTCACGCAGTTTTCGCAGCAGCAGCACCAGCCCCACGGCCAGAAGCACGGCGGCCAGGAGGGAGAAGACCACAATAATGGCAGTGATGGCCTCCTGAGACTGCAGGAGAGGGGACAGGTTGTCCACCCTCGCCTGAGAAGCATCCAGGGCTCCTCATCTCTCCACCCACCCACCCACCCCCGCCAAAGCCCCCCACTTTTGGTGATGTGGATCCTCCACCCAGGATCCCTGATTCCCATCAATCACATCTGGGGCTCCCACGCTCCCCCCTGCCATGCCTGGGATCTCCCTCCCAAGCACCTGCCACCTCTGGGAGTCTGGGCCGTTTCACCTGCTACATGTGGGACACCTGAATAAATCCCTGTGACCCTCCTCCTACATATAACCCCAACTCACCAGGGCCCCATTGGAGCCAGAGCCAGGGGCAGAGGGTGTAATGGTGCCGTTCTCATTTACGTGGGGGTCCAGTGCTGTGGGGAGGGGGTGGGTAGAGAGGATAAGTTAATCCTTATCTACCCTTCCCATCCTGGCACGACTGCACCTCCCTTGGGCATCCCTCAGTTAGGACCCTGCCTTTCTCCGTCTTCCATTCTGGTAGAGACTGTGGGTACCCTGCATGCAGGGGCCGGCCTGGTTGTTTCTGCTCCTCTAGCCACCCCCAAACTCGGCAAAGCCCAGCAGTGAGTAATCAGCCACCAGTAGTTTGCAGTTTGTGCTGAGTTGGGGTCTGCTGTAATGGACGGTGTCTGACTGTCAGACCCTGCCCTTCCCCCCCCACCCCTCCAGCCCTCCCTCGGCCCTTAAGGATCTGGGTGGATCCTGCGTTTCCCTGGAGTGTCTGACTCACATCTCCCCCCAGGCTCCCGAAACTGAAATAGGACTGAAAGGCTGGGTCCACACCTATGGCCAGTCTGGTCAACCCAGGCAGGCCTCCTCCTGGCTCCCAGTCCGCCCAAAACACCTCCAGCACACAGAGACTCAGGTACACAGGCTCCTGTCCCCGGCTCACAATTCCACCTTCCCCGGGAACTCAGGAATTCTACACCAACTCCAATCGTGCAAGGAAATCCCTACCCCTGCCCGACCCTGTAGCCTCCTCTCAAGGTATCCGGTGACCGCTCCCGCGTTCTTGACCTCTCCAGGGCCCAGGTAACCCCCGCGCGTCCCCCGCCGGTACCTACTTTGCCCCCAGGCCCGGCCCCAGCGGGCCGGCAGCAGCGGCAGGCCGAGCGCCAGGAGCAGCCCCAGGCCGGGGCTCGCCATGGGCCGGGCGACGGGCTGGTGGCACCGGGGACCGGGCTTCGCGGGCGCGCTGCTTCTACCGCATCTCGGGCCGGGGGTCCCCGCGACCCGGCACCTGGGGCGGCAGAAAGAGAAAGGCCGGGCCGTGGGGGACGGGGCCGGACCCTGGCGCAGGCCGAGGGGAGGGATGACCCGCCCCGGGCACCCAGGAGTCCCGCCCCGCCCCCGCCGCCAGAGGTCAGAGATTAAAGATTAACTCGAGGCGGCGCGTTCCTGGGCTGGGGAAAGGGAAGGGGGCCGGAGGGGGGTAGGGGGAGGCAAGCCAAGCCGCGCGTCCTACCTCCCTACCTGGCCCAGGCGTCTCCGACCTGGCTCAGGTTCCCGGTCCGGGTCCCTGGCTCGAACCCCCGGTGCGTCCGTCGGTAGCTCGGGCTCCTCCAGCCCCGCCCGCTCACGTGACCCGGAAAGTTTAGTCACTCACCTGGGAGGGGAGCGCACTTCCGGCTTGTGCACCTGAGCCTAGATGGGAGGGCGGAGCCAAGCGGAGGTGGGACCGCGCCAGGGACGCACCTGTAACGGGAACCCAATTCTATAATACGGAAGAGTAAAAAGGCGCGGAAGCGCGCAGGTGTACGACGGACCTTCCACCTATATTGCGGGCATATCTGTAGGATCGCGTTAGTGTGGAGACATTACGGGGCGTGGAGACACTGGTGCATGAGGCACTCCTGTCTGGGGCAGGCCTGAATGGGTGGCCCCTAATAAAAACACACCTGTGTGGTACACACCTGCCTAGGAGCCAACCCGTAGGGAAGACATTTGCGTGGATATATGAGAAGAACCCCTATGGAGACATCTGCATTGAATCACACCTATTTGGAGTATAGCTGAACGGAAACATACCTGTGTGGAAAACAGCCGTTTAGAGCACACCTGCATTATAGCAAACACCTAACTGAGACACGCTGATGTAGGATACATTTGTCTCGGAAACGCATCTGCATGGCTCGCCCATGAGACGAACAACACTAGTATGAGGAATCCCTGTGGGGAAATGTATTGGAAAGACCCGTACAAGACACAACTGCATTTTAGTACACCTCATAGGACCCAGGTATATGCAAATGTGCCCATACAGGTGTGTACTTAACTACAACATACCTATGGAGGGGCGGGCGGGGGGAGCTATATAATGCATTCCTGGGTGGGTTTCTGTTGAGAAACACACCTGTGAAATGAAGGCAAAAGCCTGGTATGAGGAACATCTGCATAGAATTGAGATCACATGAAAAAAAAAAAAAGACCTGAGAACATCTGCATGAGGCACACTCATATTGAAGCACACTGGAGTTGGAGCTTCAGGGGGGCGGGGGCCTCTGTGTATTGAGGTGTATTGAGGCCCACCTGTCAGGGATGTATCTGAGGCATTCCCAGGCATTTCTCTGGGAAAACATCTGTATTCCCCATGTTGTAGGGCACCCGCAAGGACCCCCCTGTGAAGAAAACACCTGTGAGGGGACCCTCCTGAAGGGGCCCTTTGGTCTGGGACCCACAGGTGCGTTTGAGCACACCTGTATGGGCAGAGCTAAATGCCCCTAGGGCCGTCCCTTCCGATAAAGGACGGAGGTAATAAGACCACCACCCCCTGGGAACTCTGGGGTGAAGAGGAAGGGTTAAGGGGAAATTAATCACTTTTAGAGTATAGAGCGGTGGGTAAGAATTCCAGGTCTGGTTAAATCCCCGCTTTGGGGATCCCTGGGTGGCGCAGCGGTTTGGCGCCTGCCTTTGCCCCAGGGCGCGATCCTGGAGACCCCGGATCGAATCCCACGTCGGGCTCCCGGTGCATGGGGCCTGCTTCTCCCTCTGCCTGTGTCTCTGTGTCTCTGCCTCTCTCTCACTATCATAAATAAATAAAAAAAAAATTAAAAAAATTATAAAAAAAAAAAAAATCCCCGCTTTGCCCCTTCCTGGGCATGTGGCCTCGGGGGAGCAGTTTAACCTTCTGTTCCTTCGTGTGTGAAGTGGGAAAGCCAGTCCCACCTACCTTATAGGGTTTCGGCGAGGACGACGCGAGGGGTGAGTAAAAGGCCTGAGTTGTGCAACGCCGGGAATCAATGTTAGCTATTGTTATTACTTTTCGCCCAGTGGTCTGGCCGCCCCTCCCCCTAACGGTGACTCCAGAAACTGCGCCCGAAAGGAGTGGGCGGGACTTTCGGCAGGTGCAGCGAGCGCGACAGGCGGGTGCCCCGCCTCCAGCGCTCGGCTCCCCGCTCTTCCTCCGCACTCGTGCCTGGGACACTGAGGTCCATCCCCAGGTTGGTCTGGAGAGAGCAGTTCGCACGGCGACCGGATCCGGCTGCGGCCTCTTTAAGGCGGCCGGGCCCGCCCGAAGCTGCGGGGGCTCAAGGCAGCACCGGGTGGACGCGGAAGCCCCGCCCAGGTGGGGCGGGAGGGCGGCGCTCCGGCAGCTCCGGCCAATAGGAAGCCGACCTTGCAGCCGCGCCGCAGGTTGATCTTCCGTTTCGCAGTCTGAGTGGGACCGAAACGCAAGGCTCGCGGGCGGGATGTCGGGTTCCAGGGAGAAAGCGCCGCTGCTCGATCTTCGGTTTCTGTGACCGAGCGGGGAATGTGAAGTGAGCGGGCGGGCAGATGGAGGGCTGGAAGGCGTAGGGTTGGCTCTTCTGCAAGTCTGGGGAAAACGAGGACTTTATTGCCTAAAGAGGGGAGGGAGGTCAAGTAGAAAGGGATTACGAAACCAAATCCCTGATATCTCTCTGCTGGGCCCGCTCGGGAAGAGGGTAAACTGAGGCACACAAGGAGGAACTCTGAAGGCAGAATTGACCCCATTGATCTCTCCAGCCCCTCTCCCCAGAATGGACCCCCGTGTTTCCCGGGCTGGGCAACACCAGAGCATCCCCGGCATCTCGCCCCGCACCCCGCAGCTCCGCCTCCGGCCCCCTCCCCCCGAAGCGGGTCGGGGGAGGAGACGCAAGTTCTGGCGCGGGCGGCGACGGCCAGCAGTCACCGCCTCCTGCAAGTGCCGGAGCCAGGCGGGCAGCGCCGAGGCTGCGGTGGCCGTGGCCGCGGAGCTGGCCCCGCGGGGCCCCGGGGGGGAGGGGGAGCCGCGAAGCCCCCGCCGAGGCCGCCGCCGCCGGGCCTCCCCTCCCCCCCCCGGGCGGGCGCCATGCGGGGGGGCCCGGGCGACGCGGAGCGGCGGCAGCGCTGGGGTCGCCTCTTCGAGGAGCTGGACAGTAACAAGGATGGCCGCGTGGACGTGCGCGAGTTGCGCCAGGGACTGGCCCGGCTGGGCGGGGGCGACCCGGACCGCGACACCCAACAGGTACCCCCGCGGGGACCCCAGCCGGGCCCTGCGGCGCCGGGTGACCCGATCCCCTGAATGGAGCGCGCCGCCGCCAGCCTCTGCCCGTGGCTGCGCTCCAGTGCGGGTGCCCAGCCTGGGCGCCCCGGGGCCCTTCCCCCTGCCCAGCGTGTCTGGGCCTAACGGGTTCGCCCGAGACAGAGACAGAGCCGCCGAGGCCCCAGGCCTGCCGTTCAGCTGCCAGCGCCCGGTCCCCACCCCCCTCGCCGGTGCCTCGAGGGCGGGGGACGCCTGCCCGCCTCCCTGCCCACTGCCCCGGACACACCCTCCTCTGAACTCTTTGCCCATCCCAAGACGTGCCCTGCGCCCGCCTCAGGAGACACACCCTTTCCCATCCTCTCTGCCCTGCTCTGGGCACCCACCGCCCTCCCAGGGAGCTGCCCCGCCTCTCTAGGTTTACATTCCCCAGGCCTCCCCTTTCCTGGCTTAATGCCCCAGGCTGCCCCAGCAGGGACTGTCCTGCCCAGGCCACCCCCGGCTGGGGATGTAGCAAAGCAGGAACCTGGCCCTAGGCCTGTGCAGGTGTCCCCTACACCTGTAGCCCCAGATGCCACTGGAGTGTCTCTCTCCACAGCATCCTGAGATCTCCAGTACAACCTCCCACCCTCCGGGTGGGAAAACGGAGGCCGGGTGGGTGCTTAGCTTGGACCGCTCATTGCCCCACATTGCCCAGAGCTGTCTCTCCGTGGAGCTCCCAAAACTGCCATATGGACAGGGTTTTTTTTAAGAGATGGCTGGGAGGATAGGCTTTCGGAGACAAGAGCCCGAGGCTACCCACCACTTCCCAGTTCTGTAACCTTGAAAAAGTCACTCGACCTTGGAGAGCCTCAGTCTGCTTGCCAGGAAAACTGGGCAACTGCTTTCCACCCTGCAGACCTATTGTGGCCTTGGGCATGTTGCTGAGAAGTGAGCTGGAGGACAGAGGGGTAACATCCCCGGCTCCTGTCCTTTTAAAGGGGCGGGGGGGGGGGGAGCGCTGAGTTCCTGGGCCATAAGTTTGTTGTGCCCTCTGCGGATGGGGAGCAGCCTCCTGGAGCACTGTCATCCCTTCCCTCCCTGCCAGGGCATCTCCTCCGAGGGCGACGCTGACCCAGGTGGTGGGCTTGACCTGGAGGAGTTTAGCCGCTACCTGCAGGAGCGGGAACAGCGCCTGCTGCTTCTGTTCCACAGTCTGGACCGGAATCAGGATGGTAAGGCCCGGGGATGGGCTGCGGGAGCCCTGGAGGCACCAGCGGGGTTAGAACTGCCAGCGCTGGGAAGAGGGGGGAGGGCCACTTCTCCCTGATGACTCACAGGCTATTTTGGGAGCTCTCCTCACCCCCCAGCTAGGTGGTTGGGCTCATGGGCCCATCCCACCTCCTTTCCCTTCTGGGATGCGACCCCTATCATTACCTTTAAGTTTCTAAGGGCCAGAGATGCCCCATATTGCATCTGGATTCCCTATGAGTCATAGACACCCCCTCCATAACCTCTTCTGGGTCCCTAATATTGCCCCTCAGTCTCCTATGGCATAAGGACCCCTATAATTATTCCTAGATTCATTTTTTCATTCATTCATGGAGCAGAGAAAACCCCCCACACACAATATGGCCCAGTTCCGTCTCTCTGATCCCAGTGGGTCAGTGACACCCCCCCAACCCTGCTGCATATCTCACCCTGGGTTCCTGGGTTCCTGGGTCCCCCAGTCTTCCTAGACCAGTCCCATTATGAGGTATACTGCACCTGGGTTCCAGGGTCCCCCCCACGCACACTCTTTTCTGGCCCCCTCCCCAGGTCATATCGATGTGTCTGAGATCCAGCAGAGTTTCCGAGCTCTAGGCATTTCCATCTCACTGGAGCAAGCAGAGAAAATTCTGCACAGGTGAATAGCTTGGGGGGTCCAGAATCCCAGGTAACTTGGGTCCCCGGGACCCCCATGGTCACCTTGAGCCTCTAGGCCCCAGACCCAATCCCAGGACAGGTAGAGCCAAGAGGTGGGAGTTAGGGAAATCCTGGGCCGGATGCTTCACTTCTCTGAGCCTCAGTTTTCCCCTTTGTGAAATGACAAGCTCTCAGCACACAGGAAATCAGTGCCCCCCCCAACCAGCTGAACCTCACTCCAGCAACCCCCCTCCCAGTCCCAGCACTGATTCTGTCCCCATCTTGCCCTGCACCCCCAGCATGGACCGTGACGGCACGATGACCATAGACTGGCAGGAATGGCGTGACCACTTCCTGTTGCATTCACTGGAGAATGTGGAGGATGTAGTCTATTTCTGGAAGCATTCTACGGTGAGGTGGGGGCAGCTTTCCTAGCTTGGTGGCTGGGCCTTGCTCTGGTTTCCCCGGCATGGAGGGGCTGGGTCAGAACTCCTGAGAAGGAAGAGCCGCTGGGAACAGCCAAGGGATGAGACTGTTGTCCACTCTTCCTCTGATCGGGGATCAGGGGACTGGGGACCCATTGGGGGAGGTCTGTGATCTGGTTGGAGCCCTCAGACCTGACTTTGGGGTTCTGGGCACAGACAGTGGGAGGTGGGAAAACAGGGGAGGGGGAGCTCACTAGATGGGGCACCCAGCCTCCAGCCTCCACCCACGGTTCCCCTTCTGACTTCTTTTTGCCTTAGTAAATGGTCTGCTGCTGAAGGAACTCATAAAAGCCATGTTCTTTGGAAGATCCACTGAGATCCACTGGAAGTTGGGGGAGGAGGTGCTCTAGATCCCCAGCTTCTGGGTGGGAATCTCTGAGTGATGCTTCCAGTAGCATCTGATGGCATCTGGAGGGAAATCCACCTGTGGGATCTGTTGAGATCCTCTTGGGAGATTCAAAGATTCCTGCCCTGGGGATCCATGAAGGGCTTGGTTGAGAAGTCTATAGATGAATTCTAGATGAGGGATGATCCCTGGGAGCAGATTCCTGTGGGATCTGCTGAGGCCCAGAGGAAGGGATCCACTGATATCTTTATATGGCAGATCCCTGATTAGATCTTGTGTGGCCCTGGATGGATCTTCTAGAATCCTTACGCAGGAGGCCCTTGGGTGGGATCCCTCAAAGGGATCTGATTGGCTCTGGAAGGAATCTTTATATGGTACATGCTCGGGCAGGCTCCTCTGGTGGGATTTGGTGGAGGTGCCCAGGAGGGATATTGGGATCTTGTGTGGGAGTCAGGTTGCATGTTTTGCTGGGATCTGGTAGGAGTCCAGGAGGGATCTCCTGGGCTCTCCAAGTGAGAGCCATCATTGGTGGATGCCCTGGGTATCCTGGGATTCCTGAGGGAGATAGTCCCATTTAGGGGTGAGGTGCATCTCTCTGCCCCTATCATGATGTGACACCCCAGTCCCTGCATCCTTAGGTCTTGGACATTGGTGAATGCCTGACTGTCCCTGATGAGTTTTCAGAGCAGGAGAAGCTAACTGGCATGTGGTGGAAGCAGCTGGTGGCGGGCGCAGTGGCAGGTGCTGTGTCGCGGACGGGCACAGCCCCTCTGGACCGCCTCAAGGTGTTCATGCAGGTGAGGGACCCGGGAAAGACCCACCCCCTCTCCCAGGCCTGGGCCCCAGAAGGGGACCCTAAAACCACCTTATCTCCTCATGCAGGTCCATGCATCCAAGACCAACAAGCTAAACATCCTGGGAGGCCTAAAGAGCATGATCCGAGAGGGGGGCATGCGCTCCCTGTGGCGTGGCAATGGGATTAACGTGCTCAAGATTGCACCTGAGTCGGCTATCAAGTTCATGGCCTATGAGCAGGTGGGAGCAGGTGGGGGCGGGTGGGGGAGAGGTGAGCTAGCCATGAGGGCTGGTGGGATGGCCTTGGGGGCAGGGGATGTCTGCAGGACTCTGGGAGTGGGCATCTGCTTCCCTGTGTGGTGCTCACGGCAGGAGGACCTGAGGTCCTGCCCACCTCTGTGTCTCCCACTTTCAGATCAAACGGGCCATTCGGGGGCAGCAGGAGACCCTGCACGTGCAGGAGCGCTTTGTGGCTGGCTCCCTAGCTGGTGCCACGGCCCAAACCATCATTTACCCCATGGAGGTGAGAAGGAGGGACTCTGGCCAAGGCCCCATTGCAGAATGGGGGGTTTGCAATAACCACATCACTCCATGGTGAGATAGGCATTGGGATTATAACTGTCTCTCCCCGATTTGGACTGTGGCTTATTAGAGAAATGCTGCTTCACGTGTAGTCGGAGTGCACATGCACATTTGAGAGGTGACTTCAAGGGATGATGGTGTTGGTCATAACTATTTAGGCAGCAACTGTGGGGGCGGCCAACTGTTTACGGACATGCCTCTTCTAAGGATACTGATTTCCAGGCTGTTTGTTCCCAGGGAAATCATTTCAGGTTTCAGGTTGTGCAGTGTGTCAGGATTCTGAGTGATGGAAAACTCAAATCACACAAAGGAAGTCTGAGGTAAGCAGTTCAGGGCAGGTAGGGTGGCTTCAAAGTGTTAGGGACTAAGGTTCCTTCCCTCTATCTTATTCCAGCACTTCAGAATGTAGCATCCACCTCATGGACCAGAACGGCTGCGTGTGCTTCAGTCATCACGTCCATGGTCCAGTCAATAAGGAAGAATAGACAAAAAATAAAATAAAATAAAATAAAAAACAAGGAAGAATAGACAAAGGAAGGAACACCTCAAAGATACTTTCTGAGAGTCACACGTGCCTGTTCTCCTGTTTCATTAGCTAAGACTTAGTCACGTGGCCATATATCTAGAGAGAATAAGAAATGTAGCCTTTATTTCTAGTGGCCATGTGCTTGCTGAAAATGATAGTTTCTATTTTTAAGGGGAGAAGGGAACCAGATATTGGGAGACAGCAGTGGCCACCATATGCGACTCTGAGAGGTATAACCATTTAAAGATATGGAGATTCGGGGTAGCAGAAGAATCTACAGTTAAGTGGTTTGTTAAATTCAGTTATTGCCAGGGTAGAGCCTTCTCGGAGTAGCTATTTCTAGGTGTCTTCACTCCTGGACGTGGTGTTTCTGGAAGCAGTTTTCCCAGGGATAACCGGGTCCTCCCCAGGTGCTGAAGACGCGGCTGACCCTGCGCTGGACCGGCCAGTACAAGGGGCTGCTGGACTGTGCGTGGCAGATCCTGGAGCGGGAGGGGCCCCGCGCCTTCTACCGAGGCTACCTGCCCAACGTGCTGGGCATCATCCCCTACGCGGGCATCGACCTGGCCGTCTATGAGGTCGGTGGGCAGCCCGCCCCTCCCTCCTTTCTCCCGCCCTCTGGGATTGGCCTGCAGGACACCCCTTCCCCATAGGGCTGACTTAGTTGACCTCGCAGCTAGGGGTAGAGAAGCACCATGAGATCTTGGGGAACCCCTTCATCCATCGAACCCCTCGACTCTTCCACATTTACCACCACGAGAATTCTTCCCATTTCCATGTGCAGTTCACGCTTCCTGGGCCTCAGGACCCGAGAAGGTCAGGGACCACTGTGGCTCACAGAATCATGGGAGAAAGTGAATGTGAGTTTCAAAGATGCCCGTGTCCCCAAACCAGCCAATGTCTTCATCAGGGCCTGCCCATTTCATAGAGACAGCAGCGTTTCTATGGCCAGCATCTCAGGGCCTTTGTGGAGAGAGGCAGGAACGAGGAGGCGTTGCTCTTTCTCTTCCAGGGGTCATGACTTTTATCTTTTCCTGGTAGGATCGCCAGGCTCTTCCAAGCAGCACAGCCCCAGATGTCCCCAGGCTGCCCCCAAAGTCTCTGTGTCCAGCATAGGGCCAGCTTCACAGACAGGTAGCCAGTGCAATCGCCAAGGGCCCCATGCTCAGAGGGGCCCGCCTCTTGGTTTAATTCCCTTGCTGTTGCTGTCTTGAAATTCTGATCATCTTCAGACAAGAGATCTCACGTTATTTTTATTTTGTGCTGGGCCTTGCCAAGTTCTGGAGCCGGTCCTTATCCACAACACTCCACACCCACCATCCGTACCTGACTTTCCCAGCAGCCAGCACCACTGCGGCCACATGAGACAAGGCCACCACTCATTCACTCACTTGTTCATTCCTTCATGCGCTCACTCAGAAAATATTTCCTGAGCATCCTAGTGGACTGGGTGCTGTGCTGGTTGCTGCAGAGATGGCATTAAGTAAGAACAACACAACCCTTGCTTTCCTGGGGCATCCACTCCAAGAGCCAGGAAGTCAGTCCAGGAGCCAACAAGTAGTTTCAGATCCTGCTAAGTTCTCAGAAGATGAGAAAACAGGATGTGTAATTGAAAGTCACAGTTGGCTGGAGGGGGTCTAGGCAGGTCTCTGAGAGGCGGTGAGCAAGGGGGTGTGACCCAGGCGGAGAATGCAGGTCTGGAAGCAGGACTGGCTTTGACCTGTTGGAGGAGTGGAAGTCTTGAGTTGGCTGGAAGGAACTGAAGAGTCCCCAAGAGCTCAGTGACGCAGCTGGTTTTTCCTGAGTGCAATACAAAGCCACTGGGGACTGTGTACAGAAATAAGACATAACTGTATTTGATGCATTCTTCACCAGAAAAGGGAGCTGGGAGGCCTGGATCATTTGAGAAACCCTGTGCCCTCTTGAGTTTCAAAATCTATGTTAGTCCCATAAAGGCTTGGAGAAGTCTGCAGAAAAGTGATCTCACTGGGGTTTTTTTTTAGCCTGGTGTTGGCCATACTTATACAGTCATCAGAACGTCTTTTCAACAGAACAGCTCTTAAAAACTCATTAAACACCTATTTGGCAAATGCCTGCTGCAGCCCCAAAAGAGGGCTCTTAGAATTGCAAAGGCAGGAGGGGTGAACTCTTGCTTCCATCGCGCCCGCTCCTTGCCCAGAGCAGACATCATGAATCTATCCCAGCCCTGAGTCCTGCCCCACACAGTTCCCGGCAGCTGTTACCAAGGGGGTTAGAACTGACTTAGGAAATGGAACCTAGGAGCCATCCCAGTCCCAGAGCAAGCAGAGAGGCTTTGTAAGGGGTTGGTCTCCTCTGCTGTGTGTCTCTATCCCTGTGTCCCCTCTCCTTATGAGGACATCAGTCATATCTGATTACTCCAGGATGGCCTCATCCTAACTCACGCACCTGCAAAGACTATTTGCAAATAAGGTCACGATCTGAGATCCTGGGGGGTGAGGACTCCGGCATATCTTTTTTTTTGGGGGGGGGGGAATGCCACTGAACCCAGAAGGGTGTGTTATCAAGCAGGGTATCATGGTGGGCAGGTGGGGTTCAATCCTGGCCAGAGGGGCCTCTGGAGGCAGCGTAGAACATGCCCCACCAGCACCGCGAGGGAGCTGGGGTATTGATACGCCACGTCAGTTGTCTGAAGCGAGCTTTGCTGGGGGTGCTGCTTCGCCAGCACTTCCTGACGAGGCCTGGGTGCCCAGAGCAGCCTTCCCCGGGCCCAGCAGGAGTCCTCAGGCAGAACTGTGTTTGCTGGCCTTTGGGAGTCCGCAGATCTGAGATGAAACGGCAAGTGGTAAGGAAGGGCGTCCACGTTGGAGAGCGTGTCAGCCTCCTACGGCTGCTGTAACAAATGACCGCAAACTTAGTGCTTTTAGAACAGCACAGAATCATTATCTCACAGTTTCGAAAGTCAAAAGTCCGCGATGGGTCTCATGGGGCTAAACTCAAGCCAATGGCAGGCCTGCATTTCTTCTGGAGGCTTCAGGGGAGAATCTGTCTCCTTGCCTTTCCCCTTCTCTAGCAGCTGCCTGTATTGCTTGGCTGGTAGGCCCTTCGTCCATCTTCAGAGCCAGCAGCATAGATCTTCCAACCTGCCCACTCCACCTCTGCTTCTCTCCTCTGACTCTTAGAAACCTCGTGGTGACATTGGACTTACCTGGATATTCTAGGATCATGCCCCAGCTCAAGGTCCTTAACTTAATCTCCTCCGCAAAGCCCCTTTTGCCACATGAGGTACCATATTCCCAGGTTCCAGGGACCAGGGCGTGGACAGTGGGGCAGGAGGTGGTCTTTCCACATCCATAGAGGGTCGAGGTAAGGACCGAGTGACAGGACGCAGGTACAGTGTTTGTGCGTGGGCACCTAGGAGGTACCGCACTCAGCTAGTACCAGCCGTCAGGGGACGCCAAGCTGTCAGGGGACCCCAGCCAGCAGGGCCTCTGAAGCCAGGGTCGTAGTGTATTACCTGGTTCCAGTCCAACCCACTCTACTCCCTTCTTCACCCCTGCCAGACCCTGAAGAACCGGTGGCTCCAGCAGTATAGCCGCGACTCGGCCGACCCAGGCATCCTCGTGCTCCTGGCCTGCGGCACCATCTCCAGCACCTGTGGCCAGATAGCCAGTTACCCCCTGGCCCTGGTCCGGACCCGCATGCAGGCCCAAGGTGAGGCCTGGGCGGGAGGATGGGGCAGGGAGAGAGAGCATCACCACTTGGGCCCCAGGTCCCCATCCCCAGCTCCTCCTCCTGGGTAGGCGGTGTCCCAAATTGGGACCCTCCTGGATCTGGATGGCCTTCGCTAAAGTCCCTGCCTTTCTCTGGGTATCAGTGTACCCATTTGTGACACTGGGACAGGAGCCCTTTATCTGAACGAGGAGAGCAGATGCAGGGAATATTGTGAGGGTGCCCTAGCCCCCCTAGCTGGGAGAGGTGCTAAGTTGAGCTCCGATTTGCAAGGGTTACAGTGAGGGAAGGTGAAGATCTGGCCAAGGAGGGGTGGGGCCAGGCTGGTGAGGGTTTTTTTTAATTTTCCCCTGTAGGTTTCTCTTATCGGTCCTCCCCCCACCCCCACCCCATACACACACACATACATACACACACACACACATTCCTGAATCTGTTTTGGGAATTTCCTTGGGAATTTTAGCATTTGTGTTCTGTGATTTTCTCTGGGGGCCTATCAGTGCATAAACCTGGGTTCTCACCCACAAAGAGCTTACAGGCTGGAGAGAAGCAGGATGCTGAATAAACCATTCCACAATTAAGTATGCATTTAGGGTTGAATAAAGGAGAAGACAAAGAGCCAGACTTAGACCGGGGTACAAGGAGGGCTCCCCCGAGGAGCCTGGTTGGAAGGTTGGAAGGCAGAGGAAGTGTTAGCTGGGAGAAAAGGCAGGGAAATGAGTTCCAGGCAGAGGAAATGCCTGTGCCCTCTCCTACCACACACATACATATACCTTCTCTGTTTCTCACCGTCCCCAAACTTGGGCCCTCAAGAGTGGGGTGAAAAGGTGAGCAGTCATTTCCAGAGCCACTAGAAGTCCCGACTCTGAGTGGTAGGTCCCGCTGGTAACCTCACCTTCCTTCCCTCCTGCTGCAACGGCCACAGGCCCAGCCCTGGGGAGTGGGAGGGGAAGTGAGAGGGGCCCTTTGGCCTTACCTGGCCTCCCCACCCCTCCCAGCCTCCATCGAGGGCGCCCCCCAGCTCTCCATGTTGGGTCTGCTCCGTCACATCCTGTCCCAGGAGGGCGTGTGGGGCCTCTACCGGGGCATTGCCCCCAACTTCATGAAAGTTATCCCGGCTGTGAGCATCTCCTATGTGGTCTACGAGAACATGAAGCAGGCCCTGGGGGTCACGTCCAGGTGAGGGACCCAGAGCCTGACCCACCCCAGTTCCCTCACCCCAATCATGACATCCCCCACACCTTGGCCACTGGAGACTGATGGCCCAGCCAATGGACCCCAGGGCCCCCGCACACCAAATCACAGGATCCCCACACTTTATTCACTGGGTCCTGCACCCCCACATCACAACGACTGGCCCCCCACATGCGGGGTCCTGGACCTCCGTGACTTAACCACGGGATCCCCCACAACCCAACTAATGGATCCTGATAACCCAACCACAGGAGTACCCATCACCGTGAGTACCCATCACCATGCCTAAACACTCAGGTCCCAGATCCAGCACTGGGTCCTAGATCCCCAAAACCACTGGCGGATCCCAGATCCTCATGCTTCCTCCAGCCCTGGATCTCTAAGCTCGGCCACTGGATTCTGGATATCAAGAAGCCTCAGCCACCGGATCCTGACAATGCAATGCCTAGATCCCGGGGCCCCAGCCACTGGATCCCAGCTCCCCTCACCCCAACCACTGGATTCCTGAATTCCTTTACCTTGACACTGAGTCCTGGATCCCTCTGCTTTGACTACTGGATTCCCTACATTTCAACCACTACACCCTCAAACCCCAACCACCGGATCTCGGATTCCCAAGCCCTGACCAGCCGGACCCTGGCTCCTAAAATCACAATATGAGAGCCCAACAGAGGAGTGAGTGGGTCCTGGCGACTGTGGCTGTTGGACCCCAGATCCTTCCACCGCAGGCACTGGATGCTGAAACCTCACCCATAGGAGGTAGACCCCCACCCTTCCAAGCACTGGATCCCAGCCCCTTAACCCCTGGATTCTGATCGGAATCCTCCCAGGCACTGGATCCTGAATGCCTCAGACTCCAAGTCTAGATAGATCCCAATAGGCCAATCACAGCATCCTGGGTCCCCCGTGCCCCTGCCCCAGATGCACCCTAGAGTCCAGGGCCCAAGGAGCCTGTGGGAAGGAAGCCTAGGTCCTGGCCTCCTGCTTCCAGAAAACCCGTGGGACTTGTCCAAAGTCCTGACGCAGCTAGAAGCCGGCAGCTGGGGAAGGAGATGCCCCTCCCATGCCCTAGACAGAGGCTGGACACCCCTTCACCTGCCCAGTGTGGACACGCCTCTGGCCCTATGGGCAAACTGCCCCTCCCCCCACAATGCTCTGTGGTATCTTCCATTCCCTTCCCACCTTCAGGCTGATGATAACCTCCAGTCACGCTTTTTGGGGGGCTGGCAAGGGGGCAGCCTGAAGCCGGGGGCACATTAAGGGGACTCCCCTAAACACACCCCAGCCAGAAGCAAGTCTACACAGCTCTTCCCTGGAGCCCAGCATCCAATTATGCAAAACAAACAAACCAAATCCCCCGGACTCACTCCAGGTCTATTTTTCTACCAGAGAGCATCAGACATTCCTCCCCCGCAGATAACCCAAGCCCCCCAGCCCCCCCGACTCCCCTGTACATTCTGCACTTTATAGTTGGATTCTGAGCTTAGCATCATTGGGGGACCCCTCCCTTTACTCCTCCCAAGTCCTTGAGGAACCCCATTAAAGAACTGCAAAAGAGGAACTGGGTTGTTTGGGGGGGGCTGGAGGACCCCCCCATGGCTTCCACCTCCCCTCACCGCCCTCCTCCCCCCCCCCCCCCCGCTCCACCGTGTCCCATCTCCCGCCTGCGTGTGTTATTTCAAAGGAAAAGAACAAAAGGAATACACTTTCTAAGCTCTTTCATTGTGGTTTTTACTGAAAGGGGACGGGTTGATGTGGGACCATCTCAAATGCCACACAGGGGAGGGACATGGACCATCCTCCGTTGCACTGAGTCCCAGGAGACCAGGAAGTGAAGCAGGCCCAGGGGAAAGCCCACATCTATAGGCCCTTTTTATTTTTTCCTGTATTCTATTGACATAAGGGTATTTGCTTCCCAGGGCTGCTGTAATGAATGACCACAACCCGGAGGCTTAAAATGATACCGTTTTTGGATTGATATATTTTTTTATTGTGGTAAACTATACACCACATAAAATTCACCATCTTATCCATTTCTTTTTATTTATTTATTTTTTTTTTATTCATGATAGTCATACAGAGAGTGAGAGAGCGAGAGAGGCAGAGACACAGGCAGAGGGAGAAGCAGGCTCCATGCACCGGGAGCCTGACATGGGATTCGATCCCGGGTCTCCAGGATCGCGCCCTGGGCCAAAGGCAGGCGCCAAACCGCTGCGCCACCCAGAGATCCCCATCTTATCCATTTCTAAATGCACAGTCCAGCAGCACAAATCACACACTGTCCTGCACCCACCCACCATCCGTCTCCAGAACCTTCCATCTCCCCATATCCCCGTCCCCAAGAAGCACTGACCCCCTGCCCCCTGCCCCACCCCTGGGTCCCACCACCTCCTCTTTGTCTCTATGCACGGGCCTCCTCTGGGGACCTCCTGGGAGGGGGGTCATGCAGGAGGTGACCTTCTGGGTCTGGGTCCCCTCCCTGAGCCCGTGTCTTCGGGGTCCGTCCACATGGTGGCAGGTGGCAGGATGTCCTTCCTTTCTAAGGCAGAATAATATCCCAATGTGTCGATGGACCAAATTTTGTTCATTTATTCATCCGTCGATGGACACTTGGGTTGCTTCCATCTTTGGCTATGGTAAATACAAAAACAACAGGAATTTATTGTCTGTCAGTTCCGAAGTCTAGAAGTCTGAAGTCAAAGTGTCATCAGGGACATGGTCCCTCCAAAGATTCTAGGGGAGGATCCTTCCTGCCTCTTCCAGCTTTTGGCAGTCGCTGGCACTCGGCATTCCTCAGCTTGTAGACCCAATCAGTCTTCAGATGATTTCTGAATCAGACCCAATTTCTGCTTGTCTTCAGATGACCAAACTTTTTCCTGTGTGGACCATGACAGTCACCCTCCAAGATGTTCCCCGAGGGTCTCTCCCTCCCAGTATTCACATTCTCTCATTGTACCAGGGTGGGTCCGACTGACCAAGAGTATCCACCAGAAGTGACAGTGTGTGACTCCCAAGATGAGAGCACAAAAGACCCTGCAGTCACCATCTTGTTTGTGTCTTAAGATCCTACCGTTGGGGTAATTTGTTGTGCGGCATTAGCTAACTGGTACACATACGCATACCTAGATACGATTTTCCGCCCACTCACATATGGCATGCTAAATGTTTTGTATTTTTACTTCCTGTAAATTATGTCCTGAGGATCAATTGCCAGAAGTGGGATTGCTGAGTCAAAAGATGTGGCTATTTCAGGGTCATGCCACCAGGGAAATCGTGTGCGATATACGCAGCGACCAACAAGGAATCCGCGTTACTAAGTTTACTTCAGTCATACCAGCATCGAGTGTTACCAGGTTGATTTGATTTAATCGGGCCAGTTAACAACTATTTTCTTGTCCACGTTCTTAGATCCCTTTACACCGTTGGGGCCTGAGGAGGCCCTGCTAACTGACATGTGATACCACACAGACTGCTTTTCTCTTTCTGAGTCTCTCCACCCACAGAATAAGGGATGTTATCACTGACATCTTTAAAGGGAAAAGGACTCACGTTTATGGAGTAAGTAGTCCACACGCTGGCTCTGTGCTAAGCCTTTTGTTGTGTTATCGCCTTCACTTACTCATCTTCTATTTACCGGACACTTAGTTTGTGCCAGACCCGGTTTTGGACATGGGATTCAGAAGGGAGTGCAACACCCCACCGTCTTTGCTCTCATAAACCCCACATTCCAGCGGGGAGCGACAAACAATAAATAACACACGTGAGTGAATGTGTAGCTGGATAGAAAGCAAAGGCGCTATGGATAAAAATAAAGTGGTGAGGAAGGAGGCTATGAGATACTGCAGAGCAGAATTTACATTTTATTTATTTGATTTTATTTTTAAGATTGTATGGATTCATTTGAGAGAGAGAGAGAGAGAGAGAGAGAGAGAGAGAGAGAACGAGTGGGAGGGAGGGGCGGAGGGAGAGGGAGAAGCAGACTCCCCGCTGAGCCGGGAGCCCGATGTGGGGCTCCATCCCAGGACCTGGAGATCACGACCTGAGCCTAAAGCACACGCTTAAGCATCTGAGCCACCCAGGCCCCTGCAGCCCCCACCCAGAGATGTTTTTTTGTTTTTTGTTTTTTGTTTTTTGTTTTTTTTTTAGTTTATGTTTTAAATCCAGTGGATGGAGGAAGCATCAGGGAGAGGATGATATTTGCATAACGATGTAAAGACAGTGAGGGAGGGAGCCATGGCGATGTCTAGGAAAGCAGCATTCTAGGCAGAGGGAACAGCCAGTGCAAGGGTCCTGGGGCAGCACTGTGCTGGTGCATTGGAGGTACAGGGAGGAGGCCCGTGTGGCTGGAGCAGAATGGGTAAGGGGGAGAAAAGGAGGAGGGGAGGGCAGGAAGGGAACTGGGTAGGTCGAGCAGGGCCTTGGGGGCGATGGGGAGGACTTGGGTTTCCACCCCAAGGAAATATGAGCCCTGGAGGACTGTGGGCAGAGGAGGGCGGGGTCTGACTGAGGTGCTCATGGGAGCCCTCTGGTGGTCACTCTGGGGAGCACAGACGGGGGCAAGAGTGGGAGGGCCCAGAGTGGAGGCGACTGCACCGGTCCGGGTAATCCATCATGGGGCTGGACCAGGCTGGAGGCCCCGGACACGGTAAGCGGCCGCCAGATTCTGCGATATGTTCAAGGTTAAGCCAGGATGTGATGACAGAGTGTGGGCATGAGAGCAAGAGAAGAATCATGGATGGCATCAACATTTTGGAACCAAAGCGCATGGGAGGATGGAAGTGCTCTCAATACTCACTGCAACCTATTGACCCTTCGTGGTAAGAGTTTATCGCCACTTCCAATTTACACGTGGGGGAAACTGAAGCTCAGAGAGGTAAAGTGAGTACCCCCAGGTCACACAGCAAGAGTTGCCCTAGATGGGATTAAAACCCAGGCTGCCTCCAGACCCAGGCCTCTCTCACTTCAGCGACCCACTGTGTCTCTCCTTCCCAGAGCTCCAGAACCTTCCCATTCTCCCTCACGTCTATCTCCCCGTGCCATGATAACAAAACACAGCGCATTAGTTTCCTCCGGCTGCTGTAACAAACGACCACGAACGTGGTGGTTTAAAACAACACAAATGTATTATTCCAGCGGTCAGAAGCCTGACACGAATCCCCTGGGCTAAAATCAAGCTCCTTCTGGAGGCTCCAGGGAAGAATCTGCCTCCTGGCCTTTTGCAGCTTTGAGGGTCGGCCTGCACCCCATGGCTGGCGGTTCCCTCCTCATCTGCAAAGCCTGCAATGGTCAGTCGAGTCTTTCTCAAGTTGATCCTTTTAACCCTGTTCTGCTCCCCTCCTCACTGTTTAAGGACTTACGAGGTTAGACCGGGCCCACAATTAGTCCAGAATAATTTCTCCATCTCCTCATCGGCTGGTGAGTGACCTTAATTCCTTCGGCAAATTTGCTTTTCCCTTTGCCACTTGACATAAGCGAGTTCATGGGTTTAGAGGAATTTGGATATGGACAGGCTTACTCTGTGCACCATATCCAGTGAGGTCACAAGGCCCTCTGTGACCTCATCATGGCCTGGTTCCCAAATTTACAAGGTGACCCCTCCCACATGGTTGCTGGATGGGCAAACCTGTCGCCAGGGATTTGAACCTAGGTGTCCTAACCCTCCGGCTGCCATGGGAGCCCAGCCTGAGGAAGCTCAGAAGCCTTGCTCCAGTGTCCAGACCCTGTTTAAGAGGCTCAAGGCCTTACTCACCGAAGCCCCACCTCCGACCCCGACCCTGGCCCCCTCCCGGAACGTGGGCTGTACACACGTGTATGGGTATGTGTTTGGGCACGTGCGTGAAAACGACCTGGAGCATCTGCCATCACAGCAGGTGAGTTTGAGAACTGCAGGTCTTCGGCACCTGCAGCCTGACTGCCGGGGTAGAAGGCCGCGCTGCCTGCCTCTTCCTGCCCCACTCCCCTCCAAGCGGACCCGGAATTCCATCTGGAAGCAGTGGGGACCAGGGTGGGCCTTTCACACTAGGAGGGGCTTCTGGGGTTGCAGGGAAGGAGCTGCAGCCCGGCTCAGTATGGGTGGGAGCTGGGTCTGCCCTGCAGGTGCTGGACACAGGAGAGCAGCTGATGGTCCCCGTGGACGTCCTAGAAGTGGACAACGAGGGGGCCTTGTGGAAGTTTCTGCTCTCAGGAGCCATGGCTGGGGCGGTGTCCCGCACTGGGACGGCCCCTCTAGACCGAGCCAAGGTGTATATGCAGGTGCGCGCCCGGGGACCAAGGCCCTGGAGCCTTTGGGGTGGGGCAGGCCGGATGGAGGTGGAGCTGATTGGGGGACAGGATAGGGGTGAGGGTGCAATTGGAAACAGGTTTGAGGGTGGGGCTGGGGCATGTGTTGGAGTCAGGAGGAGGCCGAATGGAGGTAAATGTGGGAGTTGAAGCTGGGGCTGGCGCTGGAGCCAATGAGGATGGAGCATGAACTTGAGTTGCCGGAGCTGAGAGAACAGTACCAGGGACAGGGTGGGGTCAGGGATAAGGGAACTGAGGATGGGGTCTTTGGGTGGCTTTGAAGGCGAACTAGGACAGCCAAGGAGAGGAAGATGAGGGAGGAGGCGGGCATGTGGGTCTGCACTGGGTTACAGCACTAGCTGGGGAGGAATGGGGTTGGGTGGCTGGGGACAGGATGGGGTTGGACTCGGGGCTGGGTTGGAGGTGGGGGGGCAGGGTTGGAGGTGGGGATCGGGTGGGAGGCTCCTCACAGGGCCGGTGGCCTCCCTACCCCCAGGTCTACTCCTCCAAGACGAACTTCATGAACCTGCTGGGAGGGCTCCGAAGCATGGTCCAGGAAGGGGGCTTCCACTCCCTGTGGCGGGGCAACGGCATCAACGTCCTCAAGATTGCCCCCGAGTACGCCATCAAGTTCTCCGTCTTTGAACAGGTCGGGGAGAGGGGGGGCGCAATGCAGTGTGCGTGGGGGGGGAGGCCCGCTTTGCCCAGCCCTGCCCTTTAACCCCAAACCCTCTCCTACACCCCCGCTTGCAAGCCCAGATCCTTACCCAAGACTCAGGGTGGGTTTCAGCGAGGGAGGGGGTTAGTGGCTCTCTCCTGCCCCTCTCTCCTGCCCCAGTGTAAGAATTACTTCTGCGGAGTGCATGGGTCCCCACCCTTCCAGGAACGTCTCCTAGCTGGCTCCCTAGCCGTGGCCACCTCCCAGACGCTCATCAACCCCATGGAGGTAAGAGAACCTCTTCCCCCCCACCCCCCCACAAAGATGAAACAAGGTGAAAGTTAGCTACCACCTGCTACTACTTCCTCCTCCTTCCTGTTTTCTTCCCTCCTCCCCCTCGTCTTCCCCTTCATGTGAGGTGTGTGGCAAACTCGTATATTCCAGATGACTCCCCAGTCAGCTCAACCATCCTTTCCCCCTCAAGGATCCAGAAGACCCTGTGTAATTTATAATTTACTAAACTCCCATGTACAGTTGGGCTTTCTCTCTTTGCTCTGGTGTGTCTGTCCATGCACTAATGTCTCTTTTTCCTTGTTTTTTTTTGGGGGGGGGATGAGGGGAGGGAGAGAGGGAGGGAGGTAACACTTAGATTTTATTGTGCACAGCAGTTTTAGATTTACAGAAACACGGAGCAGGAGGTATAGATTTCCCATACACCTCTTCCCACATATACAAAGTCTCTGCTATTAAGGTCTTGCATGGGGTGGTCCATTTGTTGCAACGGATGAGCCAATATATATATCAATACATTATTATTAAAGCCCAGAGTTGCCCTCAGGGGCACTCTGGGTTGTACAATCTGTGGTTTGTACAGATGTGCACGGACAGGTGTCCGCCATCTGGGTGTCAGGGTAGTTTCACTGCCCTAAAAATCATGTGCTCCACCTCTTCACCCCTTCTCGCTTCCCCCGAATCCCTGGCCACCCCTGATCCTTTTACTGCCTACAGTTTTATCTTCTTTTTTTTTTAAAGATAGATTTATTTACTTATGATAGAGAGAGAGAGAGAGAGAGAGAGAGAGAGAGAGAGAGAGAGAGGCAGAGACATAGGAGGAGGGAGAAACAGGCTTCATGCGGGGAGCCTGACGTGGGACTCGATCCCGGGACTCCAGGATTGCACCCTGGCCCAAAGGCAGGTGCTAAACCGCCGAGCCATCCAGGGATCCCCCCAGTTTTGTCTTTAAAAAAAAATTTATTGATTTATAGTGATCTCTATACCCAATGTGGGGCTGGAACTCATGACCTCCAGATCAAGAGTCACACGCTCTTCTGACTCAGCCAGCGGATGCCACTGTAGTTTTACTCTCTGTCTTTAATTTTTGAGGCTTGATCTTAGGCTTTCTCATCTCCCTCTTCCCCCCATCTTCTTTATTGGTTTTCCAGGTTATCCCCCTGGTGGTTTCCCATATAAACTTGAAAAGCAACTTATCTAACTCAGAAAACAAGGTCACCTATTGGTTTTGTTTAACTGGGATGGTATTCAACTTATAAATAAGCTTAGAGAGTCCTGCCGTCTATTTTCCTTTTTTTTTTTTTTTTTTTTTTTTAGATTTTATTTATTTATTCATGAGAGACAGAGAGAGAGGCAGAGACAGAGGCAGAAGGAGAAGCAGGCTCCATGCAGGGAGCCTGACGCGGAACTCGATCCTGGGTCTCCAGGATCACGCCCTGGGCTGAAGGTGGCGCTAAGCCGCTGAGCCACCCTGGCTGCCCAGAACATTCCATTTGTTCAAGTCTCCCCTTTTGTACTTCAATGTTTGTTTAAAGTTTTTCTCATATAATGCTTGCTCTTGACCAGTTAAATTTCTTCCTAAGTATATCTGTGTTCTATTGCTGCGTAACAAATTGCCAGAGACTCGGCAGCTTTTAAAATGATATTATCTCATTTGTGGGTCACGTCTGGGCACTGGCTGGTCGGGTCCTCTGGTCAGGGTTTCATCAGGTCGAAATCAAGGTGTTGGCTGGGCTACAGTGAGCCCACCTGAGGCCTGCGTTGTTCCTTGGTTGTTCACAGGATTCAGTTTCTTGTGAAACCTCGTACAACGGATGAAGGTCCTCAGCACCAAGAAGGCTATCCACTGTCCCTACCACGTGGTCTTCTCCCCAACGGTCTGCTTGTTTAAGAGCAAATGAAAAATGTCCTGGACATTCCCAATCGCTCTGATTTCTCTGGTCTCTGGCAAGAGACTCTTTTAAAGGGCTCACCTGATTTGGTCAGGCCCACCAGGGATGAGTGGTCTTGCTTCACTTAAAATCAGCTGCTTCAAGACCTCCATTACATCTGCAAAATCCCTTCACCTTCATGTCATGTAACTCAGTGAGGGGAGTGACACCCAATCCACACTCACTCATTCATTCATCCACAGCACACTCTCAAGGTCGGGCAGGCATTATATGGAGCATACATATCAGATGTGGTAATCTTAGGGGCCACCTTAGAATTTTGCCTACTGCACTTGGTGTTTGGTCTTTTGGGCAACTGTAGAGTTGCCAATATTTTGATTTTGGAGCATTTCATACAAATCACGTTGTCTGGCTTCTCTTGGAAGATTGGCAAATCTGGCCACCTGGGGTCTGCACTCCCACGGCATTGTGTCTGGCTGCTGTTAGGTATAAGCTGTGACTCCAGTCAGTCCATGTCATCTCCCTTATCCTCTTGGCCACTGCTGCTGAACCCTGGGTTGGGAGCACAGACAGGCCAAGGGATCGAACGGCTCTGGGTTTGAAACTCAGCTCTGTGTACTCTCTTGAGCTTCAGTTTCCTCAGTGGTAGGATGGAGACGATGGTTGCTGCTAAAGGTCGATGAGAGCATTGGATCAGATGAGCCACTCCCTCCTCATCCTCCACAGGTGCTGAAGACGCGGCTGACCCTTCGCCGGACGGGCCAGTACAAGGGGCTGCTGGACTGTGCAAGGCAGATCCTGGAGCGGGAGGGCACCCGCGCCCTATACCGCGGCTACCTGCCCAACATGCTTGGCATCATCCCCTATGCCTGCACTGACCTGGCCATCTATGAGGTGTGGGGCCCATGGAGGGGTGCCAGGAGTGCTGTGAACACAGGCCCACAGTGCACTTCCTCCTGACCCCCTTGTCTTGCAGATGCTCAGGTGCTTCTGGTTGAAATCAGGGAGGGACATGGAGGATCCCAGTGGCCTGGTCAGTCTGTCATCTGTGACGCTGTCCACGACCTGTGGACAGATGGCCAGTTACCCACTGACCCTGGTGCGCACCAGGATGCAGGCCCAAGGTCAGGCTAGCCCCACCTGGCCATCATGTGTGCCCCTCTCCCTCAACCCTGACTCTGAACTTTCTCATTCCCCAAAACTCACTCCCAAATGTTCCACATCTGATCCTGGATGCTTCTGCTGCCCTCTAGACCCACCAAGAATCACCCCCAAATCTGATACCAGCCCCCAAATTAACCCTACAAACCACTGAAATGAACATCTCCTAACTGACCCCCATAAGCATCCCCAAATAGGACTTAGGGCCCCACACTGACCTCAGTGGTGATGTAGATTCCCCAAATGTTCTCCCAGCTTCTCCAAATCAGACCCAGCCCATATTTGACTCCAAAAGTCAAAATTCCTAAAATTCCTAAATCTGACCCTTAGAGGTCTTAACATCATAACCACTTCCCCCACTACCCTGGGTACTCCCCACATGGACTCTCACCCCCTAGAGCAATCCACAAACATCCAAACAAGTCCTTGGTCCACTACCCTAATCTTGAAAATATCCCCAACTCCCCCCAACCCCTTAGCACACTCCCCAAATCTCTAGCAGATCTTAGAAGTTCCCTCTCCATTATAAGCTTGTTTTCTAAGATGTTCCCAAAAACAAATCCTGAAAACTCCTGCCTAAGTTGATCTCACTCTCCCCAAACTGACCAATATCCTCTACAAGTCTCCAAACACCCTCCCAAATGACCCCCCAGACCCTGGCCCCGGGCTTCACCCAACCCCCAATATTCCAGCCCCCCTGGAGGCCCGATCATCCTCTGGCAGAAGCCCTGAGCTTGCCCCTGTTCCCACAGACACTGTGGAGGGTTCGAACCCCACCATGTGTGGAGTCTTCCGGGGGATCCTGGCCCAGCAAGGTTGGCCTGGGCTGTACCGAGGCATGACTCCCACCTTACTGAAGGTGTTGCCAGCAGGTGGCATCAGCTACGTGGTATACGAAGCCATGAAGAAAACCCTGGGCGTATAGGACGTGGCTAGTCGACACACCCTGGGCAGAAATGGACAGGAGGATCCAGGGTCCCCTGGCCCAAAGAGCCCACCAGGCTAGACCCAGGGGGCAGTTTTTGTCAGGAGAAGCAGTCTGGAGGCCTGGGTCAGAAGATCCCTGGGGATCCTTCCTGAGGGTGCAGCCAGAGACTAGTGTGGACTCCAGTTTGGCTCGCTGTGGCTTGTCACATCCAGCTTCAGGGTGAAATGGTGGATGTGGAGAGAACCTGAAATAAAGAGACAGTTTCTGCTGGATGTGTCTGGGATACCTGCGTCCAAGCGGGGAGCCCGGTATCTGGACTCTCTGGGTCTAGGAAGGCACCAGGAATCCCTGGTTTCAGGAGGTGAGTTGGGGACCTGGAACGGAACACCCAGGGCCTAAGACCCAGCAGGGCGCCTCGGATACCTGGGTCCCAAGAATGGAAGCGGGGTACCTGGGAATCCCTGCGTCCTGGAAAGGGGGACCCTTGAGCCCCTCGGACCTGATAGGAACTGTAAACCCCTAAGACGCCTGGGTTCAGGAGAGAAACTAAAGGCCTAGGATCGGAGCTTGAGGCTCTGATCCCCCGACCCCCATCCCCGGCCTTATGTGAAACGGGTGTGGGGTGTGGAATTAGGGTCCTAGGCGAGAACCGATGGCCCTAGACCCTTGCATTCTGGAGAGGAACTGGTCCCGTGAGTCCTGGAAGGGAAGTGGCGGCTCTAGAATCCTGGGTGGAGAAGAGCGCGGGCGCAGGGGATCCGTGGGTCCCCCCCTGCTCCTGGGCCACCCCACCCCCGGGAGCACCCGACCTCCAAGGCCTCGAGCAGGCCATGTGTTCGGCCCACCCAGCCAGGCTCCTGGGGCGCTAACCCAGACGTCAGGCCCGAATTCCGAGCAGCCGGTCGGCGCTGCCCACGTCGACTGCCACTCACTCCCACGACGGCTAATCCCCTCTCGTCGTCCGGCGGCCGGCTCCGCCCCAATGCAGCTCCGCTTCCACTGGCTCCCACCAAAACAGGGCCCCTAGACTTCCTCCACCGCCATTTGTCCGGCGCGCTGTCCGTCACCTTGCACCCGCCCCCACCGCCCGGCCATTGGCCTAGAGATCAAGGCTGGAAAAGGATTCTGGTTAACAGGGGAAGCAATCCCGTCCAAACCTGAGCGCGTCACCCAGGGCTCGTCAGGGATTGGGCTAAGCCGACTGCCAATCTTCACAAGAACCGCCCCCCGCGCGGACTCATTGGCTCGCGTGCACGATTATCTCACCTGGCGCCCGCCCTGCCTGTTCAAAGGAGCCTTTAGCCAGGCCCCTCCTTCCTGTCCACTTGACTCCCTGGAGCCGTCAATCCGGTCCTGAGGCCGCCCCGTAGTGCTGGAACCCCCGCTCCATTGGGCCTCCTGCCCTCTCGGGTCGCCTCGATTTGCCCGCCCGGCACCGGCAGCGCGCAGCCCACTGCCTCCGAGAGCTGTCGGTCACGCGGCGCCTCCCGCCCACTGCCTCTCGCGGCCCTCCGATTGGCTGCTCGTGTCCGGAGCCCGCGATTGGTGTTCCTGGAGAGGCGGCCGCCTCCCATTGGCCTGGCTGCGCCGTCCGTCACGCCGGCGGCGGGAGGGGGCGTCCCTCTCCCCCCTCGTCGTCTTCCCAGCCGCTGGGTTCCCAGAGTGCTCCGCGGCCGTGTGGAGCGAGGCCTTGTTCCCGCGTTGAGCCGCCGCCGCCGCCGCCTCCTCCTCAGCTTCAGCCTCCGCGCCAGGCCCGGCCCCGCCGCGCCATGTCGGACTACAGCACGGGAGGACCCCCGCCCGGGCCGCCGCCGCCCGCCGGCGGCGGCGGGGGCGCCGGGGGCGCCGGGGGCGCCGGGGGAGGCCCTCCGCCGGGCCCGCCGGGCGCGGGGGACCGGGGCGGCGGCGGCCCCGGCGGCGGCGGCCCGGGCGGGGGGTCGGCCGGGGGTCCCTCCCAGCCGCCCGGCGGGGGAGGCCCGGGGATCCGCAAGGACGCCTTCGCCGACGCCGTGCAGCGGGCCCGCCAGGTGAGGAGGCCGCGGGCCTGAGGGGCGCGCGCGGGCGGGGGAGGGGGCGGGGTCACGCGCGCGCGCGCGGGGTCGCGGGGGGGGCCGAGGCCGCGGCGGGGTCACGTGGGGGCGGTAGGCGGGGGCTTGGGCCTTCCCGGGTGTCCCCGGTGGGCCCCGGGCGGGCGACCCCCTGCAGGGGGAAGGGGCGTGCGAGGGGCCCCCGGAGGGCTGGGACTCACTTTGGGGGGGCCCCCACTTAGGACGCCCGAGGGCACGCTTTCCTCTCCTGGAAGCGGAGCGCCCAGCTTCCCGGAGGGGAGGGTCTTGCTTGGCGCTCGCCTCCCCACCGGGGCAGAGAGCTGTTTGCCTCCGGCCCTGCCGCGTCTTCGCCCGTTCCCCGGGAAGAAAGGACTTGGGGATGAAACAGCCCTTCCTCCGGAGCCTGGGCAGGGGGCCCCTTGCCACCAGAGTGGCCGAGCACTTGGGCGAGACGGGGAGGCTGGGCACCGGGTCTGGCTCCTTTCTGATGCTTCCGGTGGCTTGGAAGCGTGGTCTGTCTGTCTGGGAAGGAGGGGAGGGTCCCACTACGGTGTTTTGAGGCGTGATGGTAACATGGAGGTGTCACATGCTGCTGTGACTGACCTCCCCAGCTCCATCTGCGGCCTCCGCACGCCCTGGAGGGGAGGAGGCCTGGAGAGCCGGAGAACTTTGCTGTCCTCCGGGGCAGCGGACCGGCCCGGAGCCGACTGAGTGCAGTTCCCGTCGGAGGCTTTCCCGGGGTTCCAGTGCCTCCGGGGCAGAGTGGAAGGTCCCGTTAGGTGAACGCCCTATTCCCCGCCCAGTGTGGTCTATGGCTTTCTCACCTAGGGCGCGGGATCAGCCTCTGCTGTGCACTTGGTCTTGTTGCCCACCAAACTGCCTCGGGGGAGAAGCGGTCGTCACTAGGCGAGCTGATGCTCTTTGTTGGGCTGGGGAAGAGCCTCATCCTGAGAGCTTTGACCCAAAGTGTTTAAAGAAAAAAAAAAAAAAGAAAGAAAAGAAAATTAAGAGAGGTGGGAAGATAGATCCTTAACTTCTGGTTTGCATTTCTTTGGAAAACCACAGTGTGATAGTTTCACACATGGACTCTGGTCTTAAATTTTGTTGCATTGGGATTATTTGAAGTCGTTCCTCACGTGTCTGGCGTGTAATGTGTGTTTTCAGAAAGGGTCTTTGGATTTGGTGGAATGAAGATTTTAAATGCCTTTAAGCAGACGCTTCTCTAAAAGTCGTTCAACGAACGCAAAGATTTTGAGGGGGAGGGAGATAAAGGAAAGTTGTGGTCTCCACCATCCCAGGAGAGCTGGGCCACAGTCACACTTCTGCTTCCCTCATGGAGGCAACCTGAGGGTCCTCCCGAGAGCAGAGCAGTTGCAGACGACGAGGGCACGAATCCCATCTAGAAAGGGAATTTTGAAATTCCTGGATGACTCTTGAATGCTGAGGCCCTTGGGTAGGTTCTGAGAAGTTCGTCTGAGCACCAGTTCGTTGTGGTGGTAACCTTCTGTGCTTACGATTTTGTTTCTAGATCGCAGCCAAAATTGGAGGCGACGCTGCTACCACAGTGAACAACAGCACTCCTGATTTTGGTTTTGGGGGCCAGAAGAGGCAGTTAGAAGATGGAGGTAACTACCTACCTGCTGGGAGGAAGGCCCTGGGGTAGAGCGAGGTGCCTTTGTCCGAGCGTGATGCAGAGTCGGGGGAAGCCCACTGCCATTTGGTCTTTTAAAACCTCAGCAGCCCCAGCTTTGTTCATTCTTCTTGTTCGGGCTGCCATCCTGGGGTATCAGGTGGCTGAGAGGAGCAGATTGATTGTGACCGGGTCCAAGTTGTAAGTTGTCAAGATTGTTCCTCCCCTTCTGGTTGGCTTGGGAAATGCTCATGGTTTTATCCAAGCCCCACATTAGTGCAGCTTGGCTGGCCCTAGGGCGTGCAGCGCTACCCACAGTAGCCAAAATGATCAGCGTGGGGGATCAGCCAAAACCGGACTTTCCCCCTGTCCCTCCCTGCCCCTGGACTTGAGTGCTGCCATCATTGTTCCTGTTATAAAGAACTTTTTTTTTTTTTTTTTTTTTTTTTACTCTAAGTGCTGATGGTAGGACTAGTGGAAGTCTGGCCTCTGTCCTGGTTGGTCCCTGCTACTCTCCTGTCTTGGCTTTGGTGTGGGGGTTGGGGGAGGGAGGCTGTTTGCCAGGCCATGTGGCACCAGCATCAGATTTGAGGCAGCTGTGGGTGGGTGGGTGTAGCATCTGACATCCTCTCTCTTTCACAGACCAACCGGAGAGCAAGAAACTGGCTTCCCAGGGAGACTGTAAGTCCATTGGATGATGCAGGCAGAGGGCAGCTTCAGGGTCTTAAAAGGTTTTTAGGATTTGGGAGTTAGAAACTCTGAGGAGGTGGCACCTGTCCATGGAGGCTCTAGGTGCTTATCATCTGGGGTCTGTGAGCTTTAGGGGTCTCAGAGCCCCTGGAGATTGAGGCAGAGATGGTTGGTGCATGTGCTGATGTGAGATGTGCTCAGGAAGGCTCGGCCTGTAGTAAGTGCTAGCCACTCCTCGTGCGGGCAGGAGTACTTGGGGGCCAGTAGTGTTCAGGGGCCCAAAGAGGAGCCAGGCCAATCATTGCTTTGAATTTTCTCTCTGCAGCCATCAGTTCTCAACTTGGACCCATCCATCCTCCCCCCAGGTAAGCTGTGATTTGGAGAGCGCATGTTTCCTTGTCAGTCAGCTATCGCTGGCCTTTCTTGATGACTTAGGAGACCTGTGTCTGTGGCTGCTTCCTTGGCCCCAGAGAAGCCCAGGAAGTATAGGGGCAGTCTTTGTGCCCTGTTGCTGCCTGTGCTGTGGTGGGACACTTAGCAAGAGGGCTGAGGACCAGCTATGGGTTTCTCCTCTGCCTTCTGCAAATGCTTGTTCCCCAAGAGCTGGTGGGGCCTGTGGTTTTTTCCTA